TGTGTTTTCGAGAGCAATGTCAAAGCATACAAATGAGGTAGTACACTGCCTGAGGAGTAAACAAAAGAGACACAATAAAAGCACAGCACAATGCAATAAAAACACAAAGAAATTCAAAAAGCCTGTCAAGCTGTAAAAATGGATGCTTTAAGTAATTGCAAATAAAACCACTGCACATATGACTCAAGTGCATAACACAGTATGAAGTCACAACCTTCTTGAAAGTGAAGTGTGCGATTTTTGAGCCATTAAAGTCAAACAATTTCGACTGTTTTCAAACATGTTTCCGAGCCCCGCCTCAAAATCAGGCCATTGGTTGAATCAATGTAGTTTTGCCCGCCTCCCCAAGTAGCAGCCAATGACGCATCTGACTCCAGCAGCGGCCAATCGCGTTACAAAAGGGGGAAAAATCCCTATTGTGAGTGAAATCATAACATCTGTGTTATTATAAAATATTCTAAATTAGCAATGTTGTTGTGTATAAAATGAAATAATTGAATTGTATAAAATGGATACAATAATTGCGTGTTTCTCTGCTTAATTGTATTTGAAGCTTATTCTTTCTTGCACAGTATCAAGGCAATTACAACTTTTTAATAAATACATTTGTGAAATGTTAAAAAATACTTCATATAGGCTACAGATGAGTTTAGAGCTTGATTATGTATGAGGGAGAATGCATGCATGCAGAGTATGTTTTAATGCATTAGAGTAGGCTGGTGTCTGTTTATAGCAGATGAAAGTGAAACTACTTTGGTAGTCCTCCAACCTACTTAGCCTTACTTAACATGGGTTTTCATGTCAGTGCAGTAACAACAGCTGCTTTATTGAATAGGCCAGCCATTATCTTCCTTTTCAAGACTACAAAGTAGAGACAAATTCCAATTAAGTATGTGTTCTGACACAACATAAAGGACGAGGGAGAGGAGCACCCCGGATAATTGGGTTAATTGCAAAAAGCATGCAATTAGCTCTAATTGAAGTAACTACGGCTGTATTCGATTCACTGCAGAGAGTAGATAGAGTAGCCTATGTTTAACAATGGCTTCTAAAAATTGGAAGCAATATATGTGCAACAAAAATCATTTATAAAGGTCTATCAAATGTCATGTTTTGGGCAGATAATGAGATGTGATTTTTTTTTTTTTTTTTTTTTTAAAGGGGTTATATGATGCGATTTCAAATGTTCCTTTCTCTTTGGAGTGTTACAAGCTCTTGGTGCATAAAGAAGATCTGTAAAGTTGCAAAGACTAAAGTCTCAAATCCAAAGAGATATTCTTTATAAAAGTTAAGAGTCAGCCACACCTACCTAAAACGGCTCGTTCTAACACGCCCCCACATGTCTATGTCACGATGTGGGAAGATTTGCATTACACTGCCCAAATGTTCATGCAAAGAAAGAAGGCGTAACTTTTATTCTCGCTGTAGTATTGTTGCCGCCACCATGTCGTGAAGATGCTGTGTGTTTCGTTGTGAAAGCGAAACTACTTTGTTTGGTCTTCCAAAAGAGGACGATATCCGCTTCGTCATGCCTGGAGCTGATCCGTGCTGGTCGCTGAGGAAATACATCAACTTCGCGCTGTGGATCGCCGGATCGGCTTTCACCGTGGATGAAGCGGAGTCCAGTCCGGGGTCGTCACATGTGCTTTGTCGAATCCGCCGGCCACGCCGTTCCACACTCTAGCCCCCGGCCTCCGCTCACTCAAGGCCGCCGTGTGTGACGCTGTTTCGTTGTGAAAGCGAAACTACTTTGTTTGGTCTTCCAAAAGAGGACACGACTAGAAATCAGTGGTTAAGTTGTATTTACAACACTGTTCCAGAACAGTTCAACCCAAATATTCCGTTGTGTCCAGTACATTTTACGGAGGACGTTTCCTGATCCTGGGAGAGTAGACTACAATGCCGGCTGTTCTGACTCACAGACTGTAAGTACGTTTTTTATATTTAAAGAATTTGCCACTGATGATTCAAACGCGAGTTTTGAGCAATGTAGAGTAGCGCTTGTTGTTTGTCATTTCTCCGATCACAAATGCAGACATGGTTTTATGTTTACGCAGCGCGATGCAACGCAATGCGTAAAAAGACAGTATAACCCATTATAATCCGTAATTATGTCCCCACTGGATGCAACAAATGCCTCGTTTATTTTAATGTTTTTGTCTCGTCGCTCCGGCCTGACACGCTTGAGGTATTTAGCCAATCACAACGCACTGGATAACTGGCCAATCAGAGCACACCTCTCTTTTCAGACCGATGAGCTTTGTAAAAATCGACACGTTTCAGAAAGGTGGGGCATAGAGGAGAAACAATAATGTACAGTATGTGGAAAATAATGTGTTTTTTTAACCTTAAACCACATAAACACATTTCATTACACCAAATACACAAAATAATGTTCTTTTTAGCAACATCATATGACCCCTTTAAATCCTCAGGGCTCCAGACACAAGGGAATAAAATGGAGCCACAGGTAGGCTGCTATCAAGAATCCAAGACATTAGACCGCCGCTGTGTCCCAATTTACATATCTGCCCCAAATAGTAAGATCAGGATGTTTCTGTCTCAAACATAGAATTTTGAAAACAGTATTCCAAATGTGAAATGGAAAAAGAAGTGAAGTGATGATGAGTGAAACTACAAAGCAAGAGCTGTTACACAGTAAATCAGAAACATACATTTTTAAATTAATAAAATGCCTAAATTAATTAATAATCTTACATGATCACAGAATCTGTTTAGAGACAGCAGTCTTTTCCCCCTTGATAAACTTGCACCTACAAAACAAATGCTAGCGTTATCATTTTCTGAGCATCAGACAGACTGTCGGATGTCAGATATCAAATATGAAAATCCCACATCTGGACTGAATGGAATGTAACATTTCTAGTTACTGACACATAAGTAGCCTATTTTTCTATCAGCAGCGTAATAGCCTACATATTTATTATTTCAACTAGTTTAGTTGCATGCCATTGTAGCATAAGCAATTGAGCAGAGTTAAAAAATTTCACTAGGCTACCTATATTTACATTTAGTCATTTAGCAGACGCTTTTATCCAAAACGACTTACAATTGGGGGATAGCTACATAAAGCGATTCTTCTTAAAGAGGCAAACAGACACATGAAGTGCTTGTAATACAAGTTTCTAGACATTGTTCAAATAAGTACAAGCTAGAAAGAGAAGGAATAAGTAAAGAGATAGATTTTTTTTAATGGTGAAGTCAAGTAGCTTCGAAAGAGATGAGTTTTCAGCTGTCGCTTGAAAATTGTCAGGGATTCAACATTCTGGATAGGGGTGGGAAGATCGTTCCACCAGCCAGGAACGGTGAACGAGAATGTTCTGGAAAGTGTTATTTATTTTTAACTTTTTTTAATATTTATATTTAACAATATAAAACTCAGTTGCATATTTTCTATCCACATTTGATGAGCGAAATTTGTTTCCATAAATTCACATGAAATTTTTGAAACAACTGTTCACTACAAAAAGTGATAGGCACAAGATCACAGCATTTGAGGGTATTAATGTGCATACATTTGGCGCCCTCTAGACAAGCACTGATGCTGAACATGTGGAAGAAGCTCAGTGATTCTCATTGATTTCACAGCCGAGAATCATTTTTATGAAGCGCATTATTATTCAGTCAGTAGCCTACATGTATAGCGAACATAACCTGGCCTGTTGACTGATGCTGCTTCGTCAACGAATGCTGCGTTTTGGACATTTGGTTATAGAGAGCAAAGCGCTTGTTGTTGTTCATTCATACACGTATATTTTCGTTTTTGTGTGATAATAGTATATAGCAATGAGTCATTCGTATATTTGTTTTATTTATTTATTGTTGTTGTTTTTTGCTGTACAGTTTGCGACGGAACATCTGGAGAAAGCTCGACTGCATCAGTCTTTCACAGGCTATTAGGCTGAACCCTTGAGAATACTAATATAAACCCTGAAGCGTTCAGCGGGCTCTTTCACGGAGTTGCCAAATATTGATATTTTGACACCTGGTTCTTATATCTGTGGCTTTTTGAAAGGCTTTTTTTTTTCTTGGTTGTCCTATTCATATTTGCACGTCTGTCAAAACATCACTCTTGGAGATTTGTCAGTCACACTTGACTGATTTTAGATTTACTCTAGAAAGACGTGTCTGTTTTTTGTTTTGAACTGTTCATATATTATTTCAAATCTGTTGCAAACGTATGAGCAAGGACGAGTACCAGTTGCTGTGCAAATACTGCCACCTGTCGGAAGCCTGCCCTAATAAATCAATGAGCCACGAGAGGTCGGGATTTCACGACTTATATTTTGCACGACTGAAAAACACCAATGATCAAAGGTACATTTATTAAGTAGAATGATGAGCAGCAGCATAAAATTAGCCGAGTAATATAGTTCATTAGCATAAATTCAGGATGGGTACGCTTGGAAAGCAACGCAGCAGTGCTGTTTAATTTAACGTTAGAAGTCAGCTAACGGGCGGTCACAATTGTGCTTATTTGGTTGTTTAACAGCTGATTTATTAGCAAAATAATGTTTGTGGCCAACAGTAGGCCTACTTGAGTTAAGTTTTATTTTAATAACCCATCATAAATCCCCCCCCTCAGGTTTTAGAACTGGAAACTGAGCAGATATTTAGCACTATTTATAGTAGTAAATGTAAACTTTATGGGTAAGTCTCGATGTTGCTGCATTATTAGTCAGTGGACATACGAGTATTTACTCCAGAGAGAATGAAATCCTGTTGACCAGAGCTGCCACTCTATATGGCAAGTCCACTTAACAGCAACCTCCTATTACCAGCAGGCGGCACTTGTTAGCTATGAAAAGCAATGGTATTATGATCATCAACATGTAAAATCAATGTTTTGATTTTAAGGCTCTTTTTTTTGCGCTACAGTATGCATGTAAAAGTAGTTTAACTGCTGCTGAAGATAAACATTTCTTCTTAAAAGGTATACACATTTTGAAACATTGAGAATTGCACCAAAAAAAGAGAAAACAACAGGAAATCTTGTCAACTTGGAAATGTGCTTGACATTTATAAAGACAATAAAATAACGTATTCTGAGTATGGTACATATACAAAGTTGAAGGCACCTTGACTTGGCCAAACATTAACAGTTCTGCCGTGGACTTGCTCAAAGACAAACAAAACAAATGCTGAACACAAGAGGCTCGGACCCTTGTATTTAGAAAGCTATTAACTATACAATCTTTATTCATCAAGAACAGAAAGCTAATAAGACAATAGTGGTGTTGTGATGCCTAAAATATATTATTTCATATATCTATATATGAAACTCCTAAATTTGCTTTTGTCACCTAAAATAGTTTTTCTTAACTGCGAGTACACTGTGCATTGTTGATCTATCTGAAATAGCAAATGTGTGCAGTCAACTCTTATATAAATGTGATTGATTGTTTATTATACAAACACTTATTTATATACTCAATAAATTATATTCTTTTATTTCAACAAACTATTTAATGTACTACATATTCGTAGATTTGAGAAGTGTGGTTTTTCTGCAGATTGAGACTTTGATTGTCATAATTTTGCTGAGTATGTCAACTTGTGTATTTGTGTAACAGTCTTAAAAAAGAAAGAAAGAGGGAGTTAATTAATATTACTTGGGAGCTCAGTATTTTCTATAGACAAAAATGTTAGGTCTTATTGACTCATAGATGTGGTATTCATGTTACTGCACATTTAAGGAAGCATATGCAACACTTACTGCTGTAAAACATCATTTTTGGCCACTCGGATCATCAAAGCAAATACTTCAAGTTAAAACGCTGCTGGATTTCTGCCAGCGGAGATAGTTACGCTTTTCGCTCCAGATGCAGAATCATATCATCAAGTTGCAGATGGAAGATCTTAGTGAAGGACGTCAGACAAAATATCTCAGCTCTGCTGATAGACTGCTATCAAAAGTCACCATAAGAGTCACCACAGGAACTGATGTGTCTGTTGAGCAATAGTTGCATTTATACATGGCACCCTGCTACATCGTTTTTCATGCAAAATAAGGAGAAAAATTATTCCAACCTTCTCTACCTCATTTACTCACATAATACACACCCTGAGATACTCATTCATCCTTAGAGGAGGAGTGTATTAGCCCAATGTGCAGTGATTCCCCCTTAAATGATCCCTCTGAGAGGAGCAGCAAGCCATGTTGGGACATGAGTGGTAATCTGAAGCAACTAATAGTGTTTGGTATAGTCCATCACTGCTGCAGCGGGTGGAAAGGGGATGAGGTCATTTATTAAGAGTGATGGTAGCATAAGAAGTCGGGATATAGCCCTCGTCCCTGTTGTTCCGGCGCACTCGTGTCCATCCGTCTCCCTTATCCTCCTCCACTACAGACAGCACCTCCCCTTCCTGCATGGAGATGGTTCCCTCACTGGAGCCTGTGGGCAGATGGAGGAGTCTCAGAGGAAAAGAGGTGGGTATGATATTCACAAATGCTCAGGGAAAACTGTATAATAATCATACCTGGGAAATTGTAGAGTGCTGTGCATTGACCAATAGGTGCAGCGAGTTCCTCTTCCTCAAAGTCGTCATCAAATTCAGTGTAGATGGCCTGGGAAGAGTCAGTGTCATCAGAGATAGTTCCAGGACTGAAAAGAGCACAGGAAAATTCTGATTATGTAAACATAATTCAACCGGCATAACCGGATTCAAGCAATACAATGTCTAGAAACCTGAACATGACAGCTGGCATGTAATGTGAATTCTATATTTATATCTGTGCATATCTACATTACCAAGTAAATGTATAAACTTTTAGGGGGTCAAACTATTAAGAATAAAATTTACTTTTCTCTTTTGAGAAGAAAAAATAAAGAACAAACTAACAGAAAAAAAACCTTCACAAATCACTTTAGACTGTAAATGTAACAAATATATATAGATTTTTTAATATGCATAAAAAAAATCCATAATTCAAACATTAAAAAAAATTACTGCAGACTGGATAATCATTATCAGTTTGCACTGGCTGCTGATAGCTGCTCACATCAAATTCAAGGTACTGATGTTTGCCTACCAGACATCCACTGGCTCTGCACTAATATACCTAAACTCGCTAGTTCAGACTTATGCGCTGTCCAGGAGCTTACGATCTGCAAGTGAACGCCACCTCGTGGTGCCATCCCAGGCACAAAATCCCTCTCACGGACCTTTTCCAGGACTGTTCCCGGCTGGTGGAACGACCTGCCTATCTCAACTAAAGCAGCCGAGTCTTTAGCCATTTTCAACTGATCTTTTTCATCAGCACATTACCAATTAATACTAGCACTTACCTATTCTTATTTGAATTTTTTTTTAAGATTTATTTTTGCCATTATTATGTTAGGACAGATCAGAAATGACAGGAAGAGAAGTGGGAGAGAGATGGGGGGCAGGATCGGGAAATGTCCTTGAGTCAAGATTCGAACTTGGGACGCCCATAGTGCAAGGGCGCTGTATGTATCTACTCTACTCTACTCTACTCTACTCTACTCTACTCTACTCTACTCTACTCTACTCTACTCTACTCTACTCTACTCTACTCTACTCTACTCTACTCTACTCTACTCTACTCTACTACCGGCTGTGTACTGTACTAGACTAACTGAGACTTGTCAAAGCACTTGTATACTGTTGCCCTTTTGTTAGTCTGCTTGCTTCTATTGTTCTCCTCATTTGTAATTCGCTTTGGATAAAATCGTCTGCTAAATGATTAAATGTAAATGGATACAAGGTCTTATGCAAATTGCCCCCAAGTCAAATTGTGAATTGTAAAATGAATTGTAGGACTGTAGGCTAGTGACAGGCTCATGTTCAATGGCATGGAAATAAAACAAGGAACATATTGACTTCTAAATCTTTTAAAGTTTGTCTGCCCCAGTTATGTAATTTTTTATTATTTAGGGGATATTTCTTTAGATTTTTTATTTAAAATCAGAGCATAATATCAAGAGTCTCATGACCTACATTTTGCAATTCACTGCACTCTTGTGTGCTGTTCTTAAGTACACAAATGAAATTAGTTGATTAAATTACTGTGTAGAATTACCACCAATAGTGAATAAAATGGTTGTCTATGGTATTTACACCAGAGAGTAGTAGGAAAACAACATGCAAGTCTTAGTTGAAGTTCTGGTTATGCTCTATTATTGTAACAGACACTTCGCAGGGATTTTGATTGACAGGCAATCGGACCGATCTTAATGCTGAACCTGCCATTTTTGTCTGACAGGAGATTAGATTAACGTCTGTGGACTTGAATTTGAAAAATGGTGTGTTCATTCTGCGGTTGAAACAAGATACCTTCTGATGTTCATTCATGTTTATTTCATGCTATAACTAGTAAATATAAAAAGATGATCGGTTCACGTGCCGCTTGAACGGAGGCGCTACAGCGATCTGTCACGACACATTAAAGAGCCGCAAAACGGTATTTATTGTTTACATTTCTTTATACCTTTCTTTACATAAATTTGTTTCATACCAGAAGTAACCTGCTCTGTCTTGTCTGTCGGTGCGTTGTCAATTTTCTCACTGTGTGAGAACATTGCATGAGAGCGGCATGGCTTGTTGGACATAGGAACGGTAATGAAGTGGAGTGGGTCTTTGCGAAGGGTCAATTAATGTGTACAGAGTTTGCTCCATGTAAATAGTGTGTGACATGGGTTATGTATGATTGCATAGAAAAGTAGAATTTAGTTTTGATGCAAGGGCTTGGCATATGTGTACAACTGAAATCACAGTCTTTTTAAGTATACCTGAAAACTCACCTAAACACACAAAGCAACATCAAAACAGCAACGAGGACAACACTGGACCAACCTCAGCAAGAGCCAAGAGAAGCAAGACAAAGAATAACCAAACCCAAATCCACAAGCCCCAACAACAAGATGAAGAAGCAAACAATGGCTCCATCAGAAAACAATTCTTGGTCTTGTTCAATGGATCATGTGGCTTTCAAGTGATGTTGGAATGATCGTGAAGATGAGATGAATGTACATGAATGGCACCACAAAACTTTTCAAGTTAAGGTCATGCCAATTACACTACCATGGTGATGCTAATTGATATGTGTCATAATTAAGTTTGTATAAACTTTGTGTACCGTTGATGAATACCAGTTATAAAGCTTTCCCAAAAAAATTGAGGTGGCAGGATTGCGTGGTGGACAACCCATCGTTACCGAAACTACCCAAAAAACAGTCTCGTGGCAGCACAAAAATGATCAATTAAGGCATAATTTACATGATCGTAAACATTCCCACCATCGTCTTCACCCATTGTGCTAGTGCTACAAAGTTTCCTGTGTTAGTCAAAAAAACATTACAGAGAAATTACACCAAAATATCCACTTAATTCCAACCAAAAATCACTTGAACGCACATCATATTGAATTAACAATAGCCAAACTTATAAGAAATTCCCAAGAGAATTTGTGCTGTTCGCAGAGTAAGAATCGTCAAATGTAAACAATCTCCAAAACAGAGCTGCTATTACATTTTATTCCCCACCCCATTATGGATCTAATAAGTGGAGCTACTTTTTGCCCAATCGACATTCAGAGGCTTCTGCTTGACTACACTGCAACAGAAATGCCTGAACGTGAAAGAAGTCCTAATATTTCAGTGAATTCGCCATGCATACTATCTTGGTCTTGTTCAATGGATCATGTGGCTTTCAAGTGATGTTGGAATGATTGTGAAGATGAGATGAATGTACATGAATGGCACCACAAAACTTTTCAAGTTAAGGTCATGCCAATTACACTACCATGGTGATGCTAATTGATATGTGTCATAATTAAGTTTGTATAAACTTTGTGTACCGTTGATGAATACCAGTTATAAAGCTTTCCAAAAAAAATTGAGGTGGCAGGATTGCGTGGTGGACAACCCATCGTTACCGAAACTACCCAAAAAACCCAAAAGTCTCGTGGCAGCACAAAAATGATCAATTAAGGCATAATTTACATGCCTATTGGGAATCCACTGATCTTCATCCCATTGTGCTAGTGCTACAAAGTTTCCTGTGTTAGTCAGAAAAACATTACAGAGAAATTACACCAAAATATCCACTTAATTCCAACCAAAAATCACTTGAACGCACATCATATTGAATTAACAATAGCCAAACTTATAAGAAATTCCCAAGAGAATTTGTGCTGTTCGCAGAGTAAGAATCGTCAAATGTAAACAATCTCCAAAACAGAGCTGCTATTACATTTTATTCCCCACCCCATTATGGATCTAATAAGTGGAGCTACTTTTTGCCCAATCAACATTCAGAGGCTTCTGCTTGACTACACTGCAACAGAAATGCCTGAACGTGAAAGAAGTCCTAATATTTCAGTGAATTCGCCATGCATACTAGCTCTGTTCCAGAACCAATCAAGCTGTCTACAGAGACAACCTTACAGCTGAATCAACAGTTAGCATTAGCTAAATTACTAGTTATTCTAATAAGCACAAAGAGTATTTGAAGAACACAAGTAACTAATGCTCACAACTTCATATAAAGAATCTGTCAGTAGCTGGTTGCTAAGCTAAAAACTTCCTATCCTAACACACACAAAAAAAAACACTAATACTGGATGAAATCATACATTAATTAGATGGAATTATCTATTTTTAAATATATATACATTTCATTCTGGGATTATTGTTGTAGAATAAATGTGATGCTGCTTTCAATCATGACCAAAAAATTACACATCTTACATGGCAGCATAATATTGTTCCCTACTGTTTAGGATAGCTTTTACATTGGGAGTGCCTATGACACTGTAGGTGGGCAGCTTACTAAGTGGAAGAGTAAATACATTTCACCCTGATACAAGAAAAAAAAAGCTTTAAATCTAAAATTGTGCCAAACAATCCACCACAAATTAATGGGTAAACGAATGAAAGCTTGGCGCTAAAAATAAGTATTTCCCCACAAACTGGTTTTAGCTTCTCAACATTGTGACTGTCTCAGCCGGAAAGGAAACATGCACAGTGAGCAAAAAGTGAAGCAACAAGAAATGAAGGAAGATGTTTGATCTTAACTACTAAGAGTAGGGGAAAAAGGAAGCAGATTTGCAGCGCCACTTTGGTAAATACAATTAAAACTCCATATTAACTAATACGCAAGACAAAAAAATAGATCTGTACAATGACACAGAAATTGAACAGAAGAAGACTAGACAGTTAAGCTGGCAAGCGCTGAGGCTCATGTGAAAAAGGCCTAATGTGTTGAAGAAGCAGGAATCTAGATGATTGGAGAAGCAGGAAATTATGTTATTAATATGAAGGTGAACTGTTCCTAGAAAACACTTCAGACCTACATAGGCCTCTAGGACAAAGACAGATCCATTGAATCCTACACAGAGCTCTGAATCATCACATGACTGAAGAGAATGTTTTAGTAATGCTTTGCCTCCAACCCTCATTTTAAGAGGATTTTTCTTCTTAACAACTTAACCAGATGCAACCGAGCATCTATCCTGATGGCACACAGTACACAAAGGTGTCATTGTGATGGGACTGAGGGATATATTATACAGCATATAATAGCAGTAGTGTATGTGTGTTAAGGCCCATGGCAGAGGGAGAAGTGTCCCAAAGAAAAGCACAGATGCAGCAGAATGACCACTTGGTCACACGCTGAGCTAAACAACAGAGCTGGGGGCTTTTCCATCCCCACTCACAGCCAAGTAGCCATGCAAAGGGTGCATACTGGAAAACCGTAAGGATCTGTGTTGTGTACGTCAGAGAGATTGAGACTAAGGGGTGAGAAAGGGTGAAGGTGGATTGAACCATCATGCATCTTTCAACTGTGACAAAGGGTGCAAGAAACCACAGCTTTGGATCTAACACCATTTCTAGTCGCAAAGACTTGCCCACATATCAAACAATGTCTTGTCCTCAAATCTTCTCAAAGCCAGTCTGTTACCTTTTAGACTAACTCTACTCTCTCATCTTATAGTGCAGAAGTGTCCAATCCTGCTCCTGAAAGGCCACCTTCCTGTAGACATGAGCTTTATTGAACCAATTATTCAAGGTTACTAGAATCTTCAAGAAAAGCGTGTTGGAGCTATACTTGGGATGGTTGTCCTACAGGAGCAGGATTGGACACCACTTCAGGGATAGGTACTGTAAAACCCTGCTGGAAAATCACATAAAAAAAAACATATTCTAAGGATCTGATGGCTGGGTTTAAAATGGGTTCTAGCTGGTAAAATAATGGTCATGGCTCGTTTAGATCAGGGGTGTCCAATCGTGCTCCTGGGGGGCCACCTTCCAGCAGAGTTTAGCTCTAGCCCCAATTAAACACACTTGATCCAGCTAATCAATAGGGCTGTGCGATATTGAAAAAAAATGCGATACCTTGTTAAAAAATGCGATATTCAATACGATATTGCTTAAAGTGAGAAACTTCAACACTACAACTTCTGAAAGTGACCAGCAGTGTTTTAGCAGTACATAAAAAGTAATGTCACAAATCAGAAAATGTAATTTTAACATCAATGTGAATGACAAAAAAATGAATGACACTAATTTTATATCATTGTGACTTTGCTTTCCATACACTTTAAGTACTTCTTCATATACCACAGCAAAAACTATAGTCTGAGAAAGTTCAAACATGATTAAAGGCAAGTGAACAGTCAGTAAAAAAAAAAGAAAAAGGGGGAAAACAGAACAAATACACAATTTACAAGCATAGCTAAAATAAACAGTAGTATTCAGATACAGAAATGTAATAATTAAGTGTAAAATAACACTGCATTGTGTTCACTGAATGAATTCAATTTAGATTCATCTTTGTTATAGCCGTTTTGTTGTTTTGTTAACATTAGCGACATATTCAGCAGCACGTATTTATAGGCTGCTGTCCCTTTAAATCCAACTGCACGGATCCAGTATAATGATACACATCCAATTTCTTTCTCAGCTGTTTACATTCATTTAAAACATAACTGACTGCGTTTACGAGAATGATCGTCGAGACGGGTACTATTGACATAATTCTGTGTGTATGTGTCTGTTCGAACATGAGGAGGAGACGCGAAAGACGAATCAACTCGGTGTTCACGTGCCATCTGAAACTCGTCTCTGTGTGTGTGTGCTTCAGGTGTGAGTCTGTCAAAGAGCAAAGAGTTCTTTTCTGCAACTTATTGCACTTAACTCTTTTTAACGTCAAGCAATTGTCTACTATATGCGTCGAACTAAAACTTTGACCTTTCGCAACGTTTTGATTTAAGTAGCCTATTATTAAAATGATTCAGATATCGCACGCCGTTGCTATATGCATATCGCGATATTTACATTTGCAATATTTAGATAATTTCGATATATATCGTGCAGCTCTACTAATCAAGCTCATCAACATGCTTGTCTGCCAGTTTCTAGTGTTACTGGAACTAGTGTTAAACTCTGAAGGATGGAGCCCTTCGGGAGCAGAATTGGACAGACCTGATTTAGATGGTCGATCAGGTGGACTATCAGGAGCTGGGACTAAAGCCTACCTGGTTAAAGCTGGTAGATCAGCATGGACAAGCTGATGGGATCTGGTTGAGTTGAGTAAACTTAGCTTTGGCAACCTTTGGCAGGGCTTTTCCAGCAGAGTAAAAGATAACTTTCCATCTCCACACAAAACAAATCAATTTCATCTGAAGGAACTCTGCCTTCAGAGAGTAGTGAAGCCTACCTTGCTCTTCTTATTGAACAACCGGAATGTTTTATTCTTGTTCTTGCCGAGCAACTCTAGAGGACCTTTAGGAGTGCCCAGGCTGCTGTCTGAGGAGGCCCGGTTGATGCCCTGACTGTAATCCTCAAACTCCACATCTCCTGGTCTCTCGAAGCCAGACTTGTGTTGCTCTATAAGAACCACAGAGTCCTGAATAACACAGAAAAGTGTTAGCTACTCCATGTGTCGGCTTGCAGAGGGTTGACTGCTCTTTTAAAGTGGCTGGCTTAATGCAAGGTTGTCCGATCCTTCTCCCAGAGGGCCAATGTCCTGCTGAGATTAGCTCCAACCTGCCTGATCACATTTGCCTGGAAGTTGATTATCTGGTTCAGGATTGGAGCTGAATTCTGCAGGATAGTGGCGCTCCCAAAGCAGGACTGGACACCCGTGGTTTACTGAGAGCAGGAAACGAAAGTGCTTTTCTTAAAAACACAACTGAGAACTCACATTCCTCTCGTTGACATTCGTGCCAGTTCTGGTCATGCCCTCCAGACACTTCCCAATGATGGGCATGACGTGACGCTCCGTGTCTGCAAACAGGATGTAACCGTGCGCCAACTTTTTGATACGCCGTTCATCCATGTCCTGCAGCCTCTACAGTGAACAAACATGCATACAGATATCAGCATTCCTACAGTAAGCTGAGAGGAACAAATGTGTCTCAACATGTTTCTTACATTGAAAACAAGAGGCATGTCCGTGAAGTAGAACTGATTCTGTTCTTTGTTGTACTTCTGAAGTTGTGAAGCGTAGTCGTTTTTACACTCCTCTGCTATGTGCGTTCGCATATGTGCCTGCTGTTTGGCCTACATTCACACACAGAAGTAAAGATAAAGTGAAATCAGACACCCATACATAAAGAGGAAGAAGGAAACAACAATAATGCATTTGGATATGATGGAAATGAGATGGTGGGATGGGAGATGTGCATGCAAGGGAGTGGCAAGACCTGTGAACCCTTTTGACGCAACATAAATACCTTTTCCACATCGGCTTTGGTAGCATTGAGGTCCTGATCCGTTTTCTCTGCACATTGAGCAGCCTTCTCTGCTTCTCTCCACTCTCTCTCAAATCGCTTTTTACTCTACCATGAAAATAACATCCACCACATGAATCAAAGCGTTTACACACACAATGCTCTTATTTGCAGCCATTACAGGGGTATTTTACACCAAAATTAAGATTGTGTCAGCATTTCCTTTCATGTTTTTCCAAACCTATATCACTTTCTTTCGACCACAGACATATCACTACTGGTTATGAGAAATAAAGCAAAGGCTTTTGGCGCCACTGAATTCAAGCTCGCTCCTTATCCCTTATACAGCGCACTACGTGCCATTCAACCTATAGAGTAAATGTGTAAACAAGTGACTGATTCTTAAACGCAGCTGCATTTGTAGAGAGCAGAAAGTTTCAGATTCAAGAGAGCAATTTTAGAGAGAAAATCTAAATTGTTGGTAAAGAGAAAATACCTTTCGAATGCATATTTGATTTCAAATTTACTATTTAGATTTAGGTTCCCCACAGAACATTACTGTAAGGCTTCAGATAACTAAATATAACATCATATATAACTAACATTGCTTTTTTTATATATATTTTTTGGAGCTTGATACTTTGATTTCATGGAAAAGATCAGAATGAATATTCAGTTTAAAATCATTTTGTGTTCCACAGAATAAAGTAAATCATGTGGGTTTGTAACATGATGCTGGGGAAAAGAATATACAGATTTTTGGGGGTATTAAAAAAAAACAAGATTCACAACACATTTAAATTCTATTGTTATATGCCATATTTCTGTGAAATAGAGCAGGATACCGGATAACAATACAGGATGTGACCTGATTTTATTCAGTAGGAGTGAAACATTTTAATATACAATATTATTGGATAACACTGTATTTCCCCACCATTGTATGATTGGTAACAACAGTGGAAAAGAGATGATCAAATTTGGATAAAACATGAAAAAAGTTTTTTGTTTAAAATAACATGAACAATATTGTACAACTATGGACATTTCTAAATTAATATGATAAATTGTGAATACATTATCTTTAAAGGGATAGTTCACCCAAAAATGAAAATTCTGTCATTAATTACTCGCCCTCATGTTGTTCCAAACCTGTAAGACCTTCGTTCGTCTTCTGTTCACAAATTAAGATATTAAGGACATCGTTAAAATAGTCCATGTGACATCAGTGATTCAACCTTCATTTTCTGAAGCTACGAGAATACTTTGTGTGCAAAGAAAACAAAAATGTTATTTTTATTCAACAATTTCTTCTCTTTCATGTCAGTCGACGCGCATTCACAAGAGTACCATGATGTCACACAGATTATTTTAACAATGTCCTTTCTACCTTTCTGGGCCTTAAATGTGTCAGTTGCGTTGTTGTCTATGCAGGGTTAGAAAGCTCTCGGCTTTCTTAATTTGTGTTCTGAAGATGAACGAAGGTCTTTGGGTTTGGAACGGCATGAGGGTGAGTAATTAAGGATTTTTGGATGAACTATCCCTTTAAAGGTGTCTAAAATATCTGCTCATTGTTAACTGGAAAATATCAGCTGCTTCAAGAGCATTTGAATGTGTGTGGCTGTTTACACTCCTGACCAAACACAATGGCCACAGAAACGATCAGTAAACAATCACTTCAATCCCTCGATACAACCCCACACTGAGCAGAAACAATAGAGACAAAAAAGCACTCTCCCCACAGTCAGCGCTTACGCCACAAAGAGACGTATCGCACGCCTTTGACAGGGATGTAAACTCATCAAGCGCAGTCTGATCTGGTGGTTCAACGACACTGTGAGACACACCACCACAACAGAGTCTCCATCACAACCCGTCACAGAGAGAAACTTACATTGTCAAGCTGCTTGTAGGTGCTCTCCAGAGACTGTTGTGCTTTCTTGGCTTCTGACAGATGCTGCACATTACAGAGAGAGAGAGAGAGAGAGAGAGAGAGTGGAACCATGGTCAGTGTGCTTTGGGCTTTCAGACAAAAAATAAACGCATCCAGATTTTTACATTTTTTGAAGAAAAATATGAGTGCTGCTTGCCTCAACATGAAGTCTAAGTTTAAAGTATGCACAAAATGTAAATTCACTTTTATAAATCCACGAATCTGTTCTAAATGCACGTTATAGATCTTACTGTGAACAATTCATCCATGCATAGGTTTCGTTTTTTTCTGTGTGTGTCTTTGTAATTTTTAAATTTAGGCCTGGGCGATAAAACGGTATCTGTATTTATGAACGGAACACTTACATCGATAACGATAGAAAAAAAATTCAATAAAGTGCACAATAAAGGCCAAGCCAAAAGTTTCCTGAAGACTTATTTAATCTGTACATAAAACATCAAAGGTTTAAATTTGATTTTGTGTTTGACTGTTAAAACAAAACATTATTTGTTGTTTGTCTTAACAAATTGGTTAAAATAAAAATACAGTGGTTAAATTAAAAAAAAAAATTCTATCGTTTAAAAAAAAAAGTTTTAAAAAAGTAATTATCAATATCGAACGATATGAAACATTATATCGTTTATATATTTTTTTTGCTATATCGCCAAGCCCTTACATGATAAATAATTTTGTCTACTTAAGCCCACCCCTTTCTTACAATTGACTGCAAGCTTGCATTTAGATCCTCCTCCATCCAATCAGCAACCAATGAACAGAACCAAGTTCCCGTCGATCATCGATTCTAGGGCTGTCAAAATGGCTGAAAAACTAAATTCGAATTTTGTACTTAAATATTATCAAAATTCAAATTATATTCGAATTTAAAATTCATAATTTCAGTTAGGGTGAAGAAAAACTTTTGGCTTCTCTCCTGAGGTGACAAGAGGGCGCATCAATCAAAGCATAAGATAACATGACTATCTGCGAAAAAAAAGTGCATAATGTTTAAAATAATGTTTATAAACCAATTATAATTAAGTAGCTTAAACAACTATAAACAAAACAGCATCATGTATGTATGCATAGTTTAATACAAAGGGCGGAAAGCCAATCACACAGAGTACATTTTCATTTAAAAACAGGAGATGCAGTGCGATGGGGAAAAACCTGCCATAAAGTCTCGATATATGGCTTTTTTTTTTTAACTTGCATTAATTTTACATGGCTTTCGAAACATGTGGCTCTTTTGTGCGAGACGCGAGGGCAACAGTAATAGATGTCCGTCTAGAAAATACCTCCTTAACGTACACCTAAAATTCAAATGCAACGTTTTTGCATTCGAATGTGGATTTTTATTTTCAATTCGACGAATATTCGAAATTAGAAAAGAAAAAAAAAAAATTGACAGCCCTAATCGATTCTACTCGAATGTATGTCAGTGTAGAGAAAGACCTTTTCTGCTGTATTCTGTGTTTCATGGTGACTTTACAGTGTGGTTTTCCAGGGTCTTGCTATATGGTTGCTAAGATATTTTGAATGGATTTTCATTATTACTATGAAGCTCCTTAGGCGTTGTGAAAGGTCATTACTATGCGTTTGGTGCTAAGGTGTATCTGAGTGTTTTATTATATTGCCATGCGGTTGCTAGGTCATATACAAGTAGTTGCTAGGGTGTTTGTTTATTGGCCCACCTAAAAGTCGTTGATATTCTTAGCTCTAGATACTCCGCTCCCTCCATCTATGTACGTCTATGTTATTTTTTCCACCCATTTTATTATCTGCTAGGCAAAAATATGATCACTTACAAAAAAAAAAAAAACAGCACACCTCTTTCAAACCAAGCATATTTAGTTAAAAAATCTGATGTATCATTCATGTCTGCAGCAGAGCCAGTATAATACTTAAGGTTAGTCATTTGTTCAAATCCCTAACTCTAGTGTTGTTTCCCTTAGGAAGCACTAACAATAAAAACAGTATCCCATAAATTCCAAGTGACAAACAAGAGGAGACAGCTGAGGTTATATGTCGAGTATTGACTGATCTTTATGAAGATCACCAAAGCATTCCTCTGACAGTGTGGCACAAATCAAAATGAGACTTCCATCCCAACAGACTCGAATGTTTCTTCTCAAACAAGCAGTGTGACATGTTCTCCACCCCCTCTCCTTCATACCCACAATCCCCCTCTCTGCATCCTTCCCGGCCCTCTGTCCCACAGCATGCTTTATTTTAAGCCTGGCCCAGTTTCTCCGTCTGCCTCTCTCATTCTCTCACCATCTTGCGCTCCTGTTTGAGCTCCTGCAGGTACTTTGTGAGCTCGATGCAGATATTGATCATCATGTTCTCAGCGATCAGCTCCCTCTGGCCCGTATAGTCGTTCATCTCATTCAGGATGTCCAGAAAGGCCTGGTGATTGGAGAACCTAAAGAAAAGTAACACGAATGAGATACAATGTGCATGGGTAGTAAACGTGACTTTTTCAGTCATTTGGGTTTACTGCAATTTTAAAAATCACTTAACTTATGAATCATTCATTTCAGAGCAATTCGGGAACTGGTTTGACCAAAACACTCCAAAAAAAATCATATTCACACTTCATTATGGGTTGCATGCAAGTTTTACTCTATGAATCAGATGTACACTGCCTTTCAAAATATTGTGAAATATTTTTGCAATTGCTAATATTGGTTTCCTATTTTTATATACTTTAAAATATAATTTATTTCTGTGACGCGGCACAGAATTTTCAGCATCATTACTCCAGTTTTCAATGTCACATGACCTTTCAGAAATCATTCTAATATGCTGATATATTATCAGTGTTGAAACTGTTGTGCTGCTTAATATCTTAACAAAAAGTTAAAAACAAGATATTCAAAATATTAATATTTTCTAACAATATAAGTCATTACTATCCCTTGTGGAGTTTGGAGTGTGACTGGTTGTGGTTGTGGACAGGTGTCTTTTATACTGATAATGAGTTCAAACAGATGCCATTAATACAGGTAACGAGTGGAGGACAGAGGAGTCTCTTAAAGAAGAAGTTACAGGTCTGTGAGGGCCAGAAATCTTGCTTGTTTGTAGGTGACCAAATACTTATTTTACCGAGGACTTTACCAATTAATTCTTTAAAAATCCTACAATGTGATTTTCTGGATTTTTTTTTTCTCATTTTGTCTCTCATAGTTGAGGTATACCTATGATGAAAATTACAGGCCTCTCTCATCTTTTTAAGTGGGAGAACTTGCACAATTGGTGGCTGACTAAATACTTTTTTGCCCCACTGTATATATATTATAATATAACTAGTGCTGTCAAATGATTAATCACATCCAAAATAAAAGTTGTTGTTTACATAGTATCTGTGTGCGTGCTGTGTTATTTTCGAAATATATACTGTATGTGTGTGTATTTATATATACATAATAAATATACACAGTGTACACACACATATATTATGTAAACGAAAACTTTTATTTTGGATGCAATTAATCGTTTGACAGCACTAAATATAATATAACACACTGTGTGTGTGTGTGTGTATATATATATATATAAACACTATGATTTTTATAACAAGAAAACAATAACCAATAATATCATAGCCCGCTTTCACAATTCAATCAGCTATTTTCAACGATCAACGTGTTGCCAATGTAGTTTCTTCACCTGTGGCTGATTTAAATAGTACCTGATTTCCATGAGTGACTTCATTAGTTTTGCCCTGAGGGAGCATACGTTAAGTCATTTTCAGGTGTATGCGTTTGTTTGTTGAGTTGATGTGCTTTTGTTTGGAGACAGCAACAGCCCCATAGGTACTGCTGCTCAGGCACCGTAGCAACATCAGACATAGCTCAGCGTACCATAGTGATCTGATTACAGTGACTGGGGATTTGTCAGCTTTCTTCTCTGATATCACATTGTTAAGGTTGGATGGTTCACTTGTCATCACAATTGTGAGGAAAAATAAGTCAATCATGCAGCTTTGGAAGCATGCGAAATTACCTGCATTCCTGCTCTTCTTTGCTGCCTCGTTTAGGGCTGTATTTCTTGGTTAAATTCCTAGCAACCAGAAGAGAAAAAAAAAAGATCAACTACATCATAATCATGCCATTTGCAAGTACTCAGGTTTCAAATAGCAAAAGGTTGCATAACATGCCACGCTGGAGACCAAAAACTGCAGAAGTCCTGCTGGAGCAGGTGGCTGTGAAGCATTTGCATGAGACATTGTGTGCAGAGCATTTGGTCTTTCAAAAAAACAGGCATCAGGGTATTTTGGGTATCACAGGGAAATTTTCTTTAATTTTTCTTCCCATAACACTAAACAGGCACAAAGGGAGTTTCCAGTGAGAAGCACACTAAATATGAAAGCATTGTGTGACGTGGCACGATCACAATCAGGGAATGTTTACATTTATTTTGCAGTCATCCTGGAGCAAGATTTTGGACCAGTGAAAGTTCACTGTGGACAAGCACAACAATGTAGAAATACTGCAGGAATATAAGGGTCAATGACAAGACACTACTCTGGCTCTGGCCCTATTCAATGTATTTAAAAATACATTACAAATGGTATTCATACATACAATGACTTGCATACAACTAGGGCTGGGCGATAAAATGATAACAATAATTATTGCAATTAAATTTTCTCCAATATTAATAAAATGACTGTTTTATAAAAAACCTGTTTCATGATTTGAAACGATCACTCAGTGGAACATGCAGAAACTAAGAAATTAATTTCTATATTAAGTCATTTATTTTGTTAAGGAAAAATGACTGGAAAAGTGTAAAGAACTCAAAAACATTACTTCTGACCATAAAGATTAATTTAAAACCACAGTTAACGGCTGGTTTCTACACCTTTCACTTAGGAGCAAAAATCTTCCTTTAAACTTTAAAGAAATAAAGATTTGAAATTTATTGTGATAATTATCGATATCAACTGATATGAAAAAAATTATCGTGGTAATTTTTTTGGCCATATTACCAAGCTCTACATTTTGGTGTCCTGATGTCATAATGAAGAAAAAATACATATTATATACTTTTTTATATATA